GCTCATTCTGAAAGCGTAGTCCCGTGGACGTTTCTGGCGGCTGCGAGATACGTCTCGGGAGGTACGTATTTTTGCAGTTTTTGTTTTTGAGATTCTGCGAGAAGCCGTTGTGTGTGCTTCTTCAAATGTCAAATGTGTCTCGCGAGTGCCGTTCGCGCCCGTGCTGTTCTTAAGCAAACCCACCAGAGGCCGCTGTTGAACCACTGTCTGACTGACTTCATGACTGACTGGGCAACCGGCCAATCGACTGACCCACCCTCCTCCTTCCCTAAACCCTACTAATTTTACCAATTGACCCACTCACCTGCTTATTTCCCTAAACCCAACCGGGGATTTACAAAAGCCATCCAGAAAAAGAAAAGCCCTCGTCATTCTCACCCTGTTATTCACTTTATTTATTGGATTCTGTTTTTGTCTTACCTGATTTCTGGAATCGCTCTTCCCCTGACTCGAACCCGGTTGTTGTTGTCGTCGAGCTCCTCTCTGCGCCTCAAGTACGCCGACGTACACGACGAGCTAACTGGACAAACTGGTTGCAGCAGGAAAGCCCTCCACACGGAGGTAAGCAGTCAGCCTCTAAGCGCGAAAAGGAACGGAATCATACCGGCCCGTAGCGTTCGCTTAAATAATGAAATGCAGCCATACGTACCTCTGGCTACATAATTCGCGGTCTCCAGAAACGTCCACGGGACTATGCTTTCAGAATGAGACTGGGTTGCACCTTTCAAAGACCACCAATCACTTCACTGAGCAACAGTCACGGCATAGTAACACATCCATAACTCGGCAGGGTCCGTCATGGTTTTGGGTCCTTTAGAAACATTTTCGTTGTGTTATGTTTTGCCTACATTGCAAATTGATGAAGATCGTTTCTTTATTTGCTGGTGTTTTATTGTAATTGCATGTGCTTTCTTAAACTGCAGTGTGTTTAGTTCTCTCGGCCACTGTAGAAAATGGTAAATATAGAATATTCCAATAATCAATCAAAGAAGAAATGCAACAAAACTAATATCGCACACATGCAGACACTGCAATGCATTGAATGTTATAATTAAAGTCATATATATAGCGAGTGCAAAACTTTTTAGTTTAGTTGCAAACTCCGTCGCTCGCTTGTAAAGTGTAGACACGTTAAAACTGAGAAACGAGAGCAGCCTGGCGTGCATCCAAAGATGCAGTTTGGCTTGGATAATAGATGAACCTGTGCATTCATGTCAGTTTGGCATCAAGATGTCATCCATCTCCTTAATTTAATCTTGACTGATTTGAGGAGAGTAGACCTCCCATTGGGCAGAGAAATGGGGAAGTAAGCCGCCCCGTGACCTTGTGCAGTCAAGGGTGTAAGCAAAAAAGCTTTTAAGCCATCGAGCTTATTATATTAATATCCTATACCTAATAATGATGGCATCAGTACAGTAGGAGATGCATAAGAAGGGTGAGGGATTTTATAACACGCCTGTCTTCCTGCTCGTCTTTTTTGTCTTCTCTCTTTTACTAACACTGTTTTAATAGGACTAAAATCCTCCAGGGATGAGATAAGGGAGTCGACACAGATTTGGCACGCAACCCCACCCAGATTCTGGAGATGGGTCATGGCTATATAATAATAAAGCAGTGCTCCACATTTAATGTGCTAACATCATCAGATAGATCTTAATCGTGATCTCAACATGTGTTGTCAATTGATTTTATGGTGCGCACAGAACCGAAACCGTTTTCACAATTCTAAGCACTGCCTTAGTTAGGATTCAATTCTGCTGTAAATTAAATGCAGCTGATGAGTAGGCCCAAACGGAATCTGCGCACGCAGAAATGATCACTGAATCTGTTTATTTACTTATGTAAATAATTATTTAGTCAGTTTTTATATTCATTTCAGCAGTATTATTCACTAATATGCAAATGTTTATATGATTCATTCACAATACTGTTAGTAAAGTAATATCCTTCTGTACACTCTCAGAAAAAATGGTTTAATGTTGTACCAAAGAAGGTGCAAACTGGAGCAGTACCTTTTTATGGGACAGAATTGTACCTTAAGACAAAGAAACAAATTTGTACTATTGCAGTTTGTACCTTTAAGGTACAATTTGTACCATGGGAAACCAAAATTTACCTTTGGTTTTTAAAACCTGCAGATACAATATTTTACCTTCATCAAAGATACAAATCTGATCCATAAAGATACCACCACTGTTGCCAACTATTTTCCAAAAGGCGATAAGATCTGCACAAAAAGTTGATAAAAGTCGATAGATTACGTCATGCTTTAATTTGCATATTACTGACGTCATCACTTTCCACCGTTTCTGTTTGTTTAACAGCCTATGGTCAATTAAGGGGTACACATTTCATTCATTCATTCATTCATTTTCTTGTCGGCTTAGTCCCTTTATTATTCCGGAGTCACCACAGCGGAATGAACCGCCAACTTATCCTGCAAGTTTTTATGCAGCGGATGCCCTTCCAGCCGCAACCCATCTCTGGGAATTGTACGCATGTCAATTTAACTAAAATTATTGCTGTTTGAACACAGTATATCAGTATAGAGAATTTGCAGTAATCTCTCAGACGTAATAAACTCAGACAAGTTCTGAATCGGTCACTAAAATATCTGTGATTGTGAACAAGGAAAGAATCAACGGTCAAATTAAATTGTTAAAATAAAGGAGAAGCAGATCGGTTTGACTGTAGAAGGGAAATACATTCACACTGCTGCAGATGCTAAATCATTTCACTGTCAGGCTGCAGGTGGGAGAGGCTGCTGTACGAGGACTGGGCCGCCTGTCAGTGCTCTACAGAGGCTCTAGAGAGGGGCCGGCGGCATTAACCGCTGCTCGTTGAGGACAGTAGAGACGGTACAGTATGGACAAATAACCGTCTACAAAAATCTACAGTAACACACAAAAAAGTCGCTAGATTTGTCGCTAGCTGCTTTTTTGAAAATTTGCCGCTAAGGGGGTCTGAAAAGTCGCTAAGTTGGCAACACTGGGTACCACCACAATGACAAGACACTTTGTACCTTAACTATCAAAAATGCTCACCAAACATTTATTAAACAACGCCTTAAAAGTTTAGTTTAGTATACCTATAGTTTTATGGTTTACCAGTTGTTTTGTATTATTGTATTATAGAACTTAATAATTATTGCTTATAAGTTTCTTTAAACATATGCTTTTAAATGATGATTCGGTAACACTTTATAATAACTACACACTATAAATCATTTAATATATAGCAAATAGTCAATTCATTATCTTTAAGCATTAACTCTACACTAATAAGCTTTAGTAAGCAGTTTATAACTGCAGCTATAAATGCTCTATTCTTGACTTATAAGCACCTATATAATGTGTTTAATATTTGTATTTTCATACTTAGTTAATGATTTATTTTTCATTACTAACTTAAGTATTGCATTATTTACAAACCAGTTGTATTTAAGAGTAGTTGAGGGTTTTTAGGATCATTCAGAATGAGTTAGTAAATGATTAATAAACTATTGAAATGTATCTCTTATTATTCAGACATATATTAATAGTTACTATGTATGTTAATAAATGCTTTATTAACTCCACTTCATGCAGTTTTGTGACCTAATCTAAAGTGAGGGCTATTCATGCTTTATAAATCCCTTATAAGTGACAAATAAAGGCTCAGTTTAATTCTAAACAGGAAACATGACATTATTCATTCCTATTTATTTAAAGATACACAAATGAAACTACTTCAAATGAAAAATAAATCTTTGCAACCTGATCTAAAATAAAATCACTGTAGAGTTTAAACGTTGCATCTTATTATAATTGTTAAATTATTATATTGTTGTTGTTGTTTTATCCAGTTTTATGTCGTATTTTGACGCTCCTGTTACATTTACATTTAGTCATTTAGCAGACGCTGTTATTCAGCAATGTTTAAACTTTACAGTAATTTCACTTTTTAGAAAAGATTGCACAGATTATTGTTCATTTGATTCTGAGCCTTTATTTGTCATTTATAAGGGATTTATAAAGCATGAATAGCCATCACTTTAGATTAGGTCACAAAACTGCATGAAGTTGAGTTAATAAAGCATTTATTAACATATTAGTTAACTATTAGTATATCCCTGAATGATAAGACATATAAATGTTGATTTCAATAGTTTATTAATCATTTACTAACTCATTCTGAATGATCCTAAAAACCCTCAACTACTCTTAAATACAACTGGTTTGTAAATAATGCAATACTTAAGTTAGTAATGAAAAATAAATCATTAACCAAGTATGAAAATACAAATATTAAGCACATTATATAGGTGCTTATAAGACAACAATACAGAGTTTGTAGCTGCTGTTATAAACTGCTTACAATTGTTTATTAATGTAGAGTTAATGCTAAAAAAATTATGATTCACTAGATGCTAATGCTTAGTAAATGATTATTAGTGTGTAGATGATTTTTGTTTTATTATTGAAATATTTCATAAAATTATTTTGCCTTTCCAGTTATATTGTTTTTCATAAATATTGTAATAAAGGAGTTGTGCAACACTTTTGTACCTTTTATATGGGAACAATCATGTACCTTCATTTCAGTTGTACCAGAAGACTATCATAAGTGGTTCCATATAAGGTAAAATGTTTACAAAGGTACAAAACTGTTCCTTAAGGGACATTATTTGTACCATCGTGTACCACCTTTTCTTCTGAGAGTGTAGATGTATTATATGAGACTGGCTTTGTTAACCAAACAAGTGTCTCTTATTGGATTTGCATTGTAAAACTTGAATTATTTTTATGTATTAAGGTACTTAACACTCAAAACCATTGAGCATCAGTTTTGTAGATTTTGTGCAGAAAGAGCGAAAACATATCCGCAGATTCTGTCTGGCCCTACTGATTAGGCACAGTGGTGTCGTTTAAAAACCTATACACACAATTCATTTGCACTACATGACTGTATAAACATACATAATCGGTATTGGTGTGATTTGAATACTGCGACGGGCTCACCATGGCTGCAGCGGCGGCCTGCGCTGCGACGGCGGTCTGGTTGGCCTGATGCTGCGCTGCTTTGATCTTGGCCTGCAGGTGCGCTGGAGGGTGGAAATACTTGCACTTCTCGCGTGAGCAGCGGCTCTTGATGTAGTCCATGCACACCGTGACCGTGTTGTCGCTCGTGTCGATCATCGGGCTGTCGCTAGGATGGGCGAAGCGGCAGTCGGTCTCGCCGCGCGCGCAGTTACCCCGCTGAAACTCACGGCACACCTGCCGTTCGCGGACGCAAACCAACACACGCAGACAAAACAAACAGGGAACACAACAGAAATATGCAAACAGAAACATGAGTCACTAAAGTTTCAAAGCGGTCATGTATGAGCACAGGTAGAGTAAATAAACACACACGGAGATGAGTATTAACAGCTTCTCTGTGTAGGAGGCCGCTTATTATCACACACATCAGTCAGTTGCTAAGTGATCGCACATTTACATGAACACTATTCAGCTGTTATTGTTTCAGCCACACTGATCGCTTACTTGTGAGGAGGCTCTGAATTGAGGAGCCTTAATCTCATTCTTTCCTGCTATGAACTTCCTATCTACTTCACTATCAAAGACTGTACATAATTCTGGCTTCCACACAATTCCTTCATGTTGTCCCAATGCAAAAGGATTAAGTTAACCTAATTGTTTTAGCTAATTCAAGTGGATTAAACATAAAATAATTATGTGAAACCTCCAGAATTGTGTTGGTGCAGCTCATTTTAAAATAAGTCGTTTGAACAAGCAGCAAAAATGATTGTTTGAGTGAATCTGCCAACCTGATTTCACCAAGTAGCACATGTTCCTGAATTAACATCTATGTTGATCCTGATGCAACATTCCAATCAGCCAATCAGATTTAAGGGACATGTTTTAGGGTAGGCTTACAATTAGGTTAATGCACTTCCACATGATTGTTATCCAACAATTAGTTCCCTCTGATTTTGGTAATAATGTACAGTTATGGTTGGGTTTAGGGGTAGGGAAAAGGTATGGATCACGTTTTCCAACAAAAATGATGTTCCAGGATCAACATAAATGTTAATCCAGGATCGCATCCTACTTTGCAAAAACACAACATGCTCTTTGTTCAGCGTTTTACAGACAGTGATGGTAATATTTACATTCTGAATTATAGATTGTCTCCTTTCTCACATACAGGCAAAACTATTAGCCCTCGTGAGAAATTGCATTTCTATATGAAATATTTCCCAAATGCTGTTTAACAGAGATTTCTGCAATACATTTATTATTATTATTATTATTATTACTATTATTATTAATAATATTACTACTATTATTATTATTATTATTATTACTATTACTATTATTATTATTAATATTATTATTATTAATATTATTATTACTATTACTATTGTTATTATTACTATTATTATTACTATTATTATTATTATTACTATTACTATTATTATTATTACTATTATTGTATTATTACAATTATTATTACTATTATTATTATCATTACTACTATTATTATTATTATTATTATTATTACTATTATTATTATTATTATCATTACTACTATTATCATTATTATTATTACTATTATTATTATTATTATTATTATCATTACTACTATTATTATTATCATTACTATTATTATTATTATTACTACTACTACTACTACTCCTCATCCTCCTACTCCTCCTACACCACTACTACAACAACAACAACAATAGTTTGCAGGATACTAGTATTCAGCTTTAAGGGGCAATTTAAAGATGTAACAAGGGTAATTAGGTTAACTAGGTAGGTCACTGGACAACAGTGCTTTGTTAGTAGCCAATTGGAAAAAAAATTAAGGGGCATTTTTTTCCAGCCAAACTAAAAGAAATAAGACTTTATCCAAAAAACAATATAGGAAACACTGCGAAATCTTCTTTGCTCTGTTAAACATCAACTGAAAAAGAATAGAAAATTCCCAGAAGGGCTAACAATTCTATCTAACTCTATCTTAGCATGTTGATTTTATTTGTCCGTTCATTACATTAAATTTTGACTGGTCTGTTTGTCATATATTTGAATAATAAAATAGATTTTTTAGTTTCATAAAGTAAGAAACTTTTTGAAATCTGCTGATGACATTGTTCAAACATTTAACATTAATAATCTAATGGCAGTGATTATGCTAATATTCACATACTGAATTATGATTAGTCTTCTAGTTCAGATTGGTCTTTTCTTTATTCTGAATATGTTTTGGCCACATTTACAGAACTGTATACCAATTTATGAATAGTCTCTGCTTGGAACATAATTGCTTTTTTTGTATGTAACTATACTAAATTATGGCTGGTCTTTATATTTATGTTGGGCCTTTTCTCTCTCATGTATTTGCATATTGAATCATGATTGGTCCTTTCTTCATTCTGAATTCATCTGATTGGAGTTTTTAACATAATTGAATATGGACTATGATTGTTGTTTCTTTGAATGATGATTGGTCTTTTTGAAAATAAAATCATGTATATTCAGTTATGACTGCTCTGTTGTTTTGTTCTTTCTTTACATTTATGATAGCCTTTTTCTCTATTACATGCATTTAAATTACGATTTCTCTATTCTTCATTCTCAGTAATGATTATTCCTTTCTTTAAGCTTTTCTTTTCGTAAGCTTTATTTCTTTATAGTTGTATGACATTTTCTCTATTTAAATACTGAATTATAATTAATTGTTTCTTTACTGCATTATTTAGTATTATTTCTTGCATCACTCTTTTTGTTAATGATTGGCATTTCTCTCATACATTTACTTGCATACTGGATTATAACTGATCTGCTCTTTGTTTGATTCATTATTTATACTGAATCAAAACTGGTCTTTTTTGTTGTTTGCATATTTTTGCATACTGAAATATCCTCCCAAAATATTTCACTGTTTAATGATTGTTCTTTCCTTTGTGTTTATTTCCAAACTCAATTTCCGAAGGTCAAACATAACTTTGAGAATTCATTTTGAGGCCAAATATTATAGTATTTATAAGGGCTGCACAATTTATAACACATTTATAACAATCACGATAATAGTATAAACATTTATCTAAATTTACATAGTACTATCTAAATTTGACCAATCAGATGGAGCCTCACTATCTTCAGCCTCGCCTCACCAGTAGTTGCTGTTCTGCTATTGGCTGGAGCGCCCCAAAGCTGAACCCAGAGCTGACAATAAACACTTATAATGACAAAAGCCAATCAAAGTCAGAAGTTTTCGCTCATTCATAGTTATTTTAGGACTAAATGTTTGCATATTTTTGCATACTGAAATATCCCTCCAATATTTTTCACTGTTTTATGATTGTCCTTTTCTTTGTGTTTATTTCCATACTGAATTTCCGAAGGGTCAAACATTTTGACTATTACTTTTGAGGCTAAAAATTATAGTATTTATTAGGGCTGCACAGTTTATAACAAATTTATAACAGTCATGATAATAGTATATGCAACTGTCTAAATTTATATAGTATTATCTAAATTTGACCAATCAGATGGAGCCTTTCTATATTTAGCCCCGCCTCCCCAGTAGCAGCTGTTTTGCAATTGGCTGGAACGGCGCATTTATTAAAAAAATAAACACTTATAATGACAACAGCCAATCAGAGTCAGAATATCTGCTGGTTTTTACTCATTTATAGTTCTTCAAAGACTAAATGATTTTGTTTTTAGTCTAAATTAGATCTGAAAAATGAATATACCTCGTATATTTCAATATCAATATCAAATAAAAAGTGATTAGAAAACATAGCTAATAAAAATAGCATTATTGTAGGGAAATGTTAGGTCATAAGAAATATCTGTCACACTTTACAATAAGGATTTATTAGTTAATATTAGTTAATATATTTAGTAACATGAACTCAGTATAAACAATATTTGTGTAGCATTTATTAATCGGTTCAACATTTACTAATGCATCATTAACATCTAAATGCATGCTTATTAACATTGGTTAATGCGCTGTGAGATAACATGAGCTGAATGATTTTATCTTCGTTAACTAACATGAACAGTTTCTGTAATAAATGTACTGTTCATTAATTGTTCAGGTTAGTAAATGCATTAACATTAACTAAAACAGGGCTGTCCAAACTCGGTCCTGGAGGGTCGTGTCCTGCTGAGTTTAGTTCCAACTTGCTTCAACACACCTGCCAGGAAGTTTCTAGTGTATCTAGCAAGAGCTTGATTAGATGATCCAGGTGTGTTTGATTAGAGCTGGAGCTAAACTCTCCAGGACACCGGCCCTCCAGGACCGAGTGTGGACACCCCTGAACTAAAACAACCTTATTGATAAAGTGTTACCGTTTAAACAATACTCAACAACTATATCATATATTTTTCCTAGTATTTATTGTGTGTTTTAACAAAATTAATCACTTTGCGAGCAATATATAAACGCCAATTATATGTCAGTAATAGATTTAGCTAATAGACTGAACTAGACTTTCATTTAACCTGCCATGAGACTGTGCTCTGCATTTCTGGTTGAGAACTGATGCGACTCCTCTGCAGATTTCTCGAGTGTAACGTGTCTTTGTGTGAGTGTGTGTGTGTGTGTGTGAGACGCATTACCTCCAGCTTGTCTGTGCGCAGTAGTTTCTGCGTGGAGGACGAGCTGGGCACGCTGACTGGAGGACTGCCCGGGACGATGACTGGGGTGCTGGGGAGCATCTCTGTGGGGACCAGACCCATGCCGTGGCTCATGGGAGTCAGATACGGCGCGTAACTCAGACCTGGGTTCGAGCCCAGACCTTGACTCACAGGAAATGTAGGCTGCGAAGAAAGATTATTATGATAAAACGACTATTTCCTCTTTTTTAATTACAAACTTATTCGGTTCCCTTCAGCTTAGTACCTAATTTAGTAGGGGTAGCCACAGCCAAATGAACCGCCAACTATTCCAGCATATGTTTTATGCAGCGGATGCCCTTCTAACTGCAACCCAGTACCGGGAAACGCATTCACACTCATGCACTGTGGCCAATTTAGCTTATTCAATTCCCCTATAGCACATGTCTATGGCCTGTGGGGGAAACCGGAGCACCCAGAGAGAACCCATGCCAACATAGGAAGAACATGCAAACTCCATAGAGAAATGCCGACTGACCCAGCCGAGGCTCAAATCAGTGACCTTCTTGCTGTGAGGCGACAGTGCTAACCACTGGGCCATTGTGTCGCCCACAATAATATATAAATGAGGCCCAATCAGTGTAAATGTGCATGGAGGTGTAGAGTTGTGTACCACTGGTTGCATGGTGGTGCCAGGGATCATGAACTGCATCTGCTGTGCCAGCATGGCTGCCGCCGTCTTCTGCTGGATGAGGTTGTTGCGTCCGTTGATTTCCAGCTGCGTCTTCAGATGTGCCGGTGGATGAAGGTACTTGCAGTTTTCTCTCGTACACCGACCCTAAACCAAGAAAGATCAAAAACACTGTTAATATCAAGACAGGAATCAAAACGTTGCCTAAAATCTCCTGCAAATAAAACCTCTAGAAAAAATATCCCTCAGATCAAAAAGTCTGCATTTAAACGTCCAACATTTCAATATTTTAACCACATCTAATTCTTCCAATACTAAACAAGTTTCTATTTAGACTCAATTAATATCTCTTTATTTTTACAATTTAAAAGCTATTTGACTTCCCAAAAATACAGTCAGACTCTTGCAGCTCATCCAGACAACTGCTGCCAGGATTCAGATCAGAAGCAGAAGATCAGAGCACATCACATCTGTCCTCAGGTCTTTACACTGGCTCCCAGTTACATTCAGAATAGAGTTTAAAGTATTATTACTGGTCTATAAATCACTAAATAGCCTAGGAGCTCAATACATTACAGATATGCTCACTCAATACAAACCTAACAGATCACTCAGATCTTTATGATCAAATAAACTAGAAATTCCAAGTGTTCAGCCAAAGCAGGGGGAATCACCCTTCAGCAACTAACAGCGCCCCCCACTGCTGAAATCAGCTTCCAGAAATGATCAGAAGTGCTCCAACATTAGGCACATTCACATCAAATACATCAGTTTAGCTGTGCCTTTACTGAATGAGCACTGTGCAATGTCCCACAGATCACACTATCATGTCCTTCTCTTCTTTTTCATTCTTTTATAACCTGGTCTAATCTCTGTTTAAATTATTTTAATCGCTTTTATTTTATTGTTTATGTACAGCACATTTAATTACCGTTAATAATAAACTTGCCTTAACTTGCCTATAGTAATTTAGCAATATAAAACGTTTGGCACGCAATATTTTTACAATAAATGTTTCTTTATATTATGCAGTAAATGATATGAACTAAGAGTAGCAAAATACTCTTTTATTTCTTGATAAGAATATGTATTTATATACATTTATTTTGCTGTTTTTTAATTATTGTTTATTGATTTATTTCTTATTTTATTTGTCATTTCTTATCTGTTCATTCATCTATTTTTTTATGTATGTTCTGCAAGAAGTCTTGCTATGTGGGTTTGGGTTTATGCTCATAAAAGTGTTTCAAGGAAAAAAAAAAGCAGAAATTGCACATTTGTATACACCGGATGCTTTTCACTTGTGTTCCATAAATAAAGTTTATACAAAATGAATATATACAAAAAAACAGTAACACACACCTACTGCAACATACATGAATAAAGCTGCATCAACGCAGTGCTTCATACTTTAATATTAATAAAGTAGGCCAAAGTTAGAGGAATTTTCAGCGCAAGGTCAAGCGTGTGTTTGCATTAAAGCTCCACTGCAGGATATCCAGTGACACGGAGGCCGAACTGATCCTGAGATGTGAGAAACAGTGGAGGAGGGGTTAAAAACGCAGCGGTAGCACATACTGCGGACATGCAGAGACACAGACAGAGAATCTCACTGCCTATGCAGATGCTGCGGCGCCCTGCAAGGTGTAAGATCTGGAGGTGCAAGATCTGCACCGTAACCTTCAGCACCATTATCAGGATGATCACAAGATCATTTAAAGGAGAACGAAGAACAAATCTATACATTACTGTAATACTTAAAAGACAATTGTGAGGACTTTTAGAAATGAAAACATTAAATTTACTTTCATTAATTACCAATCTTTAACTCTACGTTTAGTAGCATTATCTGTCGAATAAAATTTGATCTTCATACACTGCTTAACTTTGAATAAAACAATTTCTGTCAACAGCCAGACATCACTAATATATTTGCTTCTGCAATTTGGATGCAAAATTAGATATATTCATTAATTCAGTCTCCTTCGGCTTAGTCCCTTAGTTATCAGGGGCCACCACAGCCAAAATAATTATATATATATATATATATATATATATATATATATATATATATATATATATATATATATATCTTAATTTGTATGTGATTTAATTTCTATCACAATTACGCTGTTAATTACATTTAATTAAATATGCATTTCAATTTTGGGGTTTAATTAATACAATAATATCAATTAATGCATTTTAATAAATTAATATATGGCATTTATTCATTTTCTTTTCGGCTTAGTCCCTTTATTAATCCGGGGTCGCCACAGCGGAATGAACCACTAATTATCCTGCATATGTTTAACGCAGCGGATGCCCTTCTAGCTGCGATCCATCACTGGGAAACACCCATACACACTCATTCACACATACACTACGGACAATTTAGCTTACCCAATTCACCTATAGCGCATGTGTTTGGACTGTAGGGGAAACCGGAGCACCCGGAGAAAACCCAAGTGAACACGGGGAGAACATGCAAACTCCATACAGAAATGCCAACTGAACTGACCCAGCCAGGTCTCGAACCAGCAACCTTTTTGCTGTGAGGAAATCGTGCTACCCACTGCACCACGTGACGCCCATTAATACATTTATTTAATCAATTGGAGTGTAATTATTATTAACACTTCTATGTTTGGAAAAATGTGTTATGCTGCTTTATTTTATAAAGGAAATTAAAAATGCAACTAAAACCCATTGCATCTATTGTTTTTCTTAAAGTGAAGTTTAATTATAAACTAAGCCCAGCATTATTCAATTTCACCAATCAGACGATTCCTAAGCCAAAATAAATACCCTGAGTTCCATATGACAGCCATCTTCATTTGAAGAATCCCCCCTTCCACCCCTACTCCTCCTCCTTTCTTTTATGGGTGGCACGGTGGCCCAGTGGTTAGCACTGTTGCCTCACAGCAAGAACGTCACTGGTTCTAGTCCTTACCAAGCCAGCCGACGTTTCTGTGTGGAGTTTACACGTTCTGCCCACGCTCACATAGGTTTCCCCCGAGTTCCCTTGTTTCCTCCCTTCATCAAAAAACAAGCAACTTAAGTTATTTAACTAATCTAAATAGGCACCATAACACGCGCTACTAGTAAGTAGTTATCTCTCAAGAGCAATATGAACTATATGTTCATTAGCGACTACAGGAGGGGAGTTTCCCAGATCTACCTGGGCTCAATCTCCCCTCTCGCCTTGCAAACGGGAGGGAGCCCCGGGCTCGAGGATCTTATGAGAGATCTTATCAGGGCTCTCACCCAGGACAGCATGTCAAACACACTTTATAATCAATCATCAGCTAAGTGTGAACTTTTGAAATGGCTTCAAATTGATTTTATAAATCTTTATTGATAATTTAGGTGCTTTAAAGAAGTTACATGCTGATTACCGGTTTCAAAGTTTACCGTGGTTTAGAAAAGTCAAGGTTTTAAAACCACTAAAGTACTCTGAAATTCCATTCCTAAGGTATATGTAAGTCTTGTTTTCACATGTTTTTTTTTATTTATTTTTATTTTTACTTTTTTTATTTAGTTTTTTAGGACAAGAGTATCTCCAGCCAAAAAACAAGCTCTACATCAAAAGCTACTGGTTCAAAATATTTATGAAATAATTTATAAAATTTATAATTTATAAAATATTTATACTAAAATAAAATATACTGTTCAATGGAGGAAAAAGTAGCTTTTTATGCAGACATTTAAAAGGAACTTAATTGGAGAAGCAATCACAACACTGTGATACTGTAAAATCATGATATTTTTATCCAAGGTAATCTTATAACAGATTTTGATTTGATAATGCTCTGTCAATATAAACTCTTTTTGCTATTAATATTCATGTCAAATGCATCTAATATTAGTGTGAAAGTCCAAGCGCATACATGCTAAAAATGAATAAAAATACCAATAATGCCATTACACTTACAGATAGGATGTGCAAACAATAATATAAAACCTCCGGACTGATGCACATTTGCATGCATGTACTGAAGCGTTTCCATTTGGGAATAACTGAATACATTTAAGAGCTGCAGCTGTCAAAAATCACATGCAATAAATTATTCGAACACTACGACAGAATGAAAATGTCAAAAATGAAAGCAGCATAAAAGAATCTGTATTGACACAACGTCCTTGTGCTTATTTCACCGTTCTTTATTTGATCATCATAACATTTGTCCTCATCAAGGGTATCAGTAGCCCATATAAGCTCTGGTTTACTCTCTGCATTGTTGCAGGAAGACACAAATCCCTTGGAAAACATCTTGAGAAGCGCTGGCAGGAATGTGCGTGGTCAGCTTATCTGAGCTCTTCCTTGCTTGTGCTGCTTTATGACAACAAGGATAAAAGCGCAAGATGTCCAGGTATCCTTCCTTACTCAGATTACAATGGCGATAGTGTGCTATAAATAACACCAAACTAGATCTAAACGGAGCACGGCTGTCATTTCACTGATCTCAGAACAGTTCAACATCGCTGAATCAGCTCACTGCAGCAACGCAAACATCTGACTGCTGGAAATGCGCTCCAGATTGATCAGAGCCAAAACAACATCGCATTTGCAATCATTTAAAAGCGTTGTGTTATCGACTCAGTCACAGATTTGTGTTTCACTCACCAGACTAATTATTCATTAATGTGCACTCGTTAACCCAATCATATCAAGGTGGAAACAAGAAAGATTTAACAAAATAACTGGTGCAATATCCCAGCTAAATTAAACACAACTGCTCCAAAAGTTACGTTTTTTGAGGGTTATACTCCAGCCTGCAATGACTACAATTACATGGACATCAGTAATGGAATTATTTGTCTTAATCTGAATAAGACAATGATATGATTGAGGTGTTTACATGAGCTGCTTTTTAAATGTTCCTTTCATGATCCCGTTTAACAAGTTCTAGCACATAAATCGAATAACATCACTGCGTCACCACTCTATTCACGTTTCCTTCAGTTTCATGTAATTTCGAGTGTTTCATTTGTAATTTGTCGACTTTAACTGCCGTTCAGCACTTTCACTTTCATTTAGGAACATTTCATGCATGCCCCCACGACAAACGAGATATTAGATGCCAGTATGAACTGCCGGAAGAGTGTTGTTTTAATAGAGTTTGATACCGCACACCGAATGGGAA